ATATATATATATAAACAGAGAATTCAACATTTAATAATATAACATAATATAACATTCAAGTTGATAAACAACAATATCTGCCCACAAGGATTACAGATATTTTATAACCAAACCATAAATAAACCAAAATAAATGTCTCATCCACTCAGAATGAGCTTGTACATTAATATGTCTTGTACATTAGCGCCACCTGTGGGTTGAGAGGGTTAAATTGTTTAAAGAGGGATTTCAAAGGCTCTGTTGTTCCAGCGCTCAGAGGATGTGGAAGTGCCTAAATAACAGATGCTCTATTCATCCTGAGCCTGGTCCACCAGCATTCAGCATTCAGGAGGAGAAGCAATATGACAAAGCATCGCTGATATATCTAAAGCATCCTTACTGGTAATGTTTGGATCTGTATAGCAGAATATACACGCTTCTGGAAACATGATGGGCTGATTTCAGTGTCAGAGTGCCTGATGTGACCTGGAGAGTGAGCGTAGTTTTTTCTTTCTCTCACAGTGAACAGAAGAGTCTTGTGTTTCTCCTGCAGCACCTGCATCAACACCTGCGCTCTGCTCTGGTTGAAGAGGAAAAATAATCAGTTCACCAGGAATAATCCGATCCGAGTAAGAGCGGCTTATTTTAATCTATCAAAGACTGAATTTAGCTAGATTTGTTGAGTTTAAAAAAAATTTTTTTTTTGAAGAATTGTGAAGAAAAATGAGTGCTTTCAAGCCACCACCACCATGACGTTTCAATGTAATATTTAATTTAATATTCAATATATAACATTTAGACTCCAAATACAGCAGTTTTATTGTAGTATCACTGAGGTGCTATTATAATCTTCATATTTTGAATGATTTTTTATTTATTATATTTATTTTAAATTCAGTTTTTTAAATATTTTTAGCTGTTTTTGTTTTATTTTGAATATGTTTATTCAGTTGTTATTAGTTCTAGTCAATTTAGTACATCAAGTTAAACTAAATAAAAATAATAGATGTTGCTTTGGCAACTAGTTGACATAAAAAAAATAACTATTTTTATATGCTATAATTTATTTTATATAAATATTATTTTATGTAAATATGTAAATATTTATTTTATATTTTATCACATTTATTCCAGTTAATATTTCTTTTATTTCAAGTAATGAAAATGTATTTTAATTGTTTTTAGTTTAATTGTACTTTTAATTAACTATAATAATTCAGTTAATGTCTTGTTTTTTTTTATCAATTTCTTCCAATGTTCGGACAAAAAATAGTCGTCATTCAAAAAGACAATTCAAAAGTGAACAAAAGGGAATTATCCCCACATTAAAGCAGAGGCCACTTCAGTCAGGGATTAAAAGAGGGATTAAAATTATTTTTCCCATTAATCCAAATTCCTCTGGAATGCCCTGACTTTTGGGGATTAAACTCTCCAGGAGAGGATTTGACTTTGTTTTCTCAGGTCCAGGTTTCTTCAGCATGGGCAGCGCTGACTTCGGCCCGCTGATGGAGATCATAGAGGCGAGAGACGACTGGCTGGACGAGGATTTTCCCAGGTAACCATGCACCTTTTCTATTATTCTTTTGAAAAATCCATGTGTCCACCATAGACATTGATGATTTGGTTTTGAATGGTTGAATTTTACTACATTTTCTGCATCAAATTTCAAAATTCGTTCACATTGCCCTGTTGAAAAAACAGCATATGCTGGTTAGGTATGTTTTGACGAGGGTGTGCTGTAAAATACATCATTTGCGTTTGTGGGAGGCATGAACTGTGAAGAAACTGATGCATTAAAGTGTTTATACTGGCAAATGATTCCAGTCTGAATTTAATGTAAAAAATTAAATCCCCCCCCAAAAAAAGCAAAGAAGGTTCATCAAAACAAACTTGAAGTTTGAAGGCTACACTGGGCTTACAGATAGATACAGGCTTTAAAAAAAAAGGAAAAGAGCATCTGAGTGAGATGCTGAACGGAGACGGGAGCAGGTGCAGCTCTCTCCTTGAATGGAAAGCAGCCACGTCATGTGACGCAGCGAGCTGCCAACAACGCAAGCAGCATCACCAGGAAAATGGAGGCAGGTCAGGCATAGAGGAGCAGCTCCAGCATCACACGACAGCATGATGCTTTTGAAATATTAAACAGCGTTAAGACCATGAGATTTCATGCTAGCGTGGAGTAAGAACTCGCAGAATCAGAAAGCAGCCAGAAACCTTGTACGTCTCACGCAGCAGGTAAGCGAGAGCAGCTTTGATTGGGCGTTTTTGGTTTGTTTGTTTTCTAAAGCATGCTAAAATCATCCATTTTATTAAGTTTGTATTGATTAAAATGGGTTTTAATGCTGTATTATTGTTTAATACCAAACGCCCACTGAGTCAAATAGAAATTGGATAAATCTCCACAGGGAAGCTGTTGTTGTTAAAAATAACATGGCTGTGATTCATAGATTTATTGGCATCTGTTAGTATGTTTTGCTTTGTTGATGCTAATAACCGTCTTTCGAAAGGCTTCTGGTTTGTCGTTGTCGTTTAAAATGTGCATTTCATGGGGACACATTGACAACTGTGAGTTAAGTAGTCTTTTAGCACAGATCCAGCAGCTGTGAACCCCACCAGCTCTGACAACCCCCTCTATTTGTCAGCTGCGTGTGCAAAGACCCCAAGGGCCTACTCGCTAATTAGCATATCACAATATGCTCGAGTCTTAAAGAAGCAGTTCACTCAAAAATAAAAATTTTGTCATTTACTCACCCTCATTTTCTTCCAAAATCGTATGACTTTCTTTGAACACAAACGTAGGACTTTCTTCCATTATTTGCACAAATTTGTGTCATTTTAAGTGAATTGAAAAATTTTCCTCACTAGGCCACTTCCTGCGGAGGGTGACATGGACTCTTCCTGCGCCCTGAACGAGGGGAGGACTTGTAAGTGACTTTGTTTCATGTTCTTCTTAAATTAGTAATTTGCATTTGTGTAATGCAAATCGTATCGTTATTGGTTCAGCTCCCCCAAACTCTCTCCTCATTGGTGGAGCCGGAGGGGGCGGAGCTCACCGGAAGCGTCGCACGCTGGTGGCCCCGGATATGAACTTGTCGTTGGACCAGAGCGAAGGGTCCTTGCTCTCCGATGACTTCCTGGATACGCCTGATGATCTGGATATTAACGTGGATGATATCGAGACGCCCGATGAGACAGATTCACTTGAGTTCATTACCAACGGCAACGACCTGGAGTGGGAGGGTAAGAATATGCTGTTCTTCATGGCTCTGGAAAGAGATCGGTAAGTAGATAGATAGATAGATAGACTGTTCGAAAGATCAATAGATAGATAGATAGATAGATAGATATACTGTTCGAAAGATAGATAGATAGATAGATAGACTGTTCGAAAGATGATAGATAGATAGACAGATAGATAGATAGATAGATAGATAGATATACTGTTCGAAAGATAGATAGACAGACAGATAGATAGATAGATAGATAGATAGATAGACAGACAGACAGACAGAGACAGACAGACAGATAGATAGACTGTTCGATAGATAGATAGATAGATAGATAGAGTAAAAATGGTAAATAGTATGATATTTCGGTAGGTAGTTATGTAGATCGGTAGGTAAGTAGATGCAAAGATCAGTAGGTAGTTAGATTGGTAGGTAGATAAATTAAAAGATTGGTAGGTAGTTAGATCGGTAGGTAGGTAGTTAGATTGGTAGGTAGATAAATTAAAAGATTGGTAGGTAGTTAGATCGGTAGGTAGGTAGTTAGATTGGTAGGTAGATAAATTAAAAGATTGGTAGGTAGTTAGATAGATCGGTAAGTAGTCATAGATTGGTAGGTAGTTAGATAGGTAAGTAGATAGAAAGATCGGTTAGTAGTTAGCTCAGTAGGTAGGTAGATAGATAGATAGATAGATAGATAGATAGGTAGGTAGGTAGATAGATAGATAGATAGAAATATTGGTAGGGTTGGTGGATAGATGCAAAGATAGGTAGGTAGATAGAAAAATCAGTAGATAGTTAGATCGGTAGGTAAGAAGTTAAGTAGCTATATGTTCCACTTCACTGATCCATGGCTTTCAGATGACACACCCGTCGCCTCGGCCAAAGCGTCCCCTGCTGACAGCGACGCTGATGGAGAAGGTGTGGACGGGACGGGTGTCAACGGGCGTTTATGGAGGACCGTGATCATCGGCGAACAGGAACATCGGATCGATATGCAGGTCATACGACCCTATCTGCATGTCATATCACATGGAGGTACGTCACTCTTCAGAATCAACATGTACGCAGTATATAATCTCTGCTGTGTCCTGAAGTCGCTTCTTCTTCTCTGTTTTTAGGCTACTATGGCGAGGGCTTGAATGCCATCATTGTGTTCACGGCGTGTTACCTTCCTGACAGCAGCTGCCCAGATTACCATTACCTGATGGAAAACCTCTTCCTGTAAGGAAATGAACTTATTTGACTTAGCAAACACAGCCAAGCCAGACTGTACAAGACCTTCTTGTTCTGTGATTTTCTTATTTGGCTTCTCTTCACACGTTCACGCTGTTCTCACACTGTCTGTTCCTCAGGTATGTGGTGAGCAGTCTGGAGATGCTGGTGGCGGAGGATTACCTGATCATATACATGAACGGAGGAACGCCGCGGAGCAAGATGCCCGGCATTAGCTGGCTCAAGAAGTGCTATCAGATGATCGACAGAAGGTATGGAAATAGTGATCATTTTTATGAAAAATGGATTTTAAGAAATTGAGATAAACATCTTCAATCTTCATCTTTAGACTGAGGAAAAACCTGAAATCTCTGATCATCACTCATCCGTCCTGGTTCATCCGGACAGTCATTGCAATTTCCAAACCCTTCATCAGGTAAACATATTATTCAACAACAGAACGGAAATGAGATTTGAAGTTGATTAAATAAAATCATGTACTTATTAAAAAGCTAAAATTGCTATTGGTAAATTAATCTTATGAATATATTGCAACTTTATTTTTACATTTTTTTCTTAATATATAAAATATAAATACTAAATATTGTACTATATAGAAACAAATTCTCATAATTAATTAAAAGTGCATGGATAATTATTCACAGTTCATTATGCAGGGTTCAGACATGCTCATAAATGATATTTTTTTGCTCTACAGTGTGAAGTTCATGAATAAGATCCATTATGTGCACAGTCTGGAAGAGCTGGAAAAGATTGTTCCTATGGATCATATCCAGATCCCAGAGTGTGTCTTACAGTAAGAAGATTTCAAACATACAAACGTATTTTACCCTTTGCTATCCAAAACCAAAATCTGATACCAATTTCTGAGTTCAATTTGTCGTGTTTTGCAGATTTGAAGAGGAAAGAATGAACGCTAGAAAAGAGAGGTAATCCCCAAACTCCTCAAAACTGGTTTATTTGACACCTATTAGATAACGCTTTCACAAACTGGAAGAGGAGACCAGCAACTCCCTATTTACCCAGAATGCTATTCTCTTTGTAGAATGGAGCAGGAACAGAAAGAGCAGCAGCATCAAGAACAGTAACAGAAGCCCGTCAATCCAGAGAGGTGAGCAAACAAACAAAACACATCATTGTTCCGTGACTGATTCATAAAATAACCAAACAACTCTCTGCCTCCAGGACGACAGCGATTGAAGAGCCTGGACTGTGAGCGGACGAACTTGAATATTTTTGTTGCTGACCTTGGACCATTTTTCATATTCCCAAATTATATATTAATACACACATCAGATGACTCGAAACTGGTCTCAGATCAGCAACAAAGCGGAAACATTGGCGGGTGAGAAGGCCAGCTGCTCTCGCTTTCGTCCTCAAAGGCACAATTTTAAAAAAGCATTTCGAAATCCACCAACAGATGGCTCTACGCACAGAGAAACGTCGCTATTTGGTAGCAGGATGTACCATCGTGCACTGTGGCCTCTTTGCTGTTATCGCTTTTTTAAATAGGCTGTTCCCTGCTTGCTGACCCTGGAGAATGTCATGTGACCTGCCGCTCAGGATTCGATTGCTGGTGCATGTCGATTTCCAAGCATCTCTGTGCTTCTCTGTGTGTATGCGCCCAAAAATCGAATGTAACTTTCTTCCATTTCGCTGATTATGTTTGCCTGGAATGCTTTCTTGGATGTTTTTGAATGTCTTAACCCCTTCCATCTTGTTTAACAACCAGCTTTTGTAAACGATAAGTGCCAGTCATCTCTGAAAACATTTTGACATTAGCTGTACTTTTATGTCGCCTTATGTTTGCTGTGAAAATGGTTCCAAATTAAACATTCTGCTATATGTATGACTACAATTTTGATTTGGTTTTGTCATTTCTTGATGTTTATATCCAGTAACTGATTGCGTGTAATCTGTATTATGTAATCGGATTCCAGAAATTAACTACTTGTAATTAGATTTATATTACAAAATACACTCTAAAAAATGCTGGGTTAAATACAACCCAGTGCTGGGTAAAATAGGGACAAACCCCGCAATTGGGCTGCTTTGACCCAGCGTTTGGGTTAAATGTTTAACCCAACCTTCTGGGTAGTAACCCAACCGCTGGGTCAAAACAACCCAATTGCTGGGTTTGTCCCTATTTTACCCAGCACTGGGTTGTATTTAACCCAGCATTTTTTAGAGTGTACTTGTAATCAGACTACATTTACTCTTTATCGATTGATTTTGTTTGTTTTTATTTAGATTGTTGTTATTTTAAAATGATTTATTTTAATTGTACATTTATATGATTTAATTATTAGCTTTTCATGAAACTCATTCATCCCCTACAGTTCCTTCATAAACCCCAGTTTGGGAAACCTTGATGTAATGTAATCTTTAATGCATTTCATGTTGTTTATTGCAGTGAAGGGAATTTATTTTCTTTCTCTTTGTATTTCTGTATGGTACAAGATTATCCTATTTAAATATGATAAATGAGTTAATCAAAAGTAATCAGATTATATTACCTAAAATGTGTAATGTAATGTAATTTGGAATCAGTAACACACTACATTTTGTAAGTAATCTACCCAGTACTGTTTATATCGGACTTTCTAATAATAATGTGTTTTTATGAACAAAAAGCACAGAGTAAACACATTCTAAAAAAAACATTTCTTTCTTTAATTCAGAAAAATTGGGGTGGGGTTTTACCTCTCAACATATCAGTCAAACAAATCAACCACCAGAGTTCAAGAAAGAGTTGCGTAGATGTCTTTCATGTAGTCACAAGAAAGAGTTATTATTTTCGCATTTCCATGATGTGACAGACTATTCCTGTACGTGACTATTATATCAGCAGTCTTTACGACGGAGTGACCAGTCACACTCTATTTGACCTAAATAAAGAATGACCCTCACTGTCATCGACATTTAGAAATGGGAAACAATTATACAGTCATAAGTTCTACACTCATTAACCATACGCTTTGACCATAAGCATGCACACCTGGATTTTGTGTATAGCTCTAGTCAACAAAATTCAAACGTGTATGAATATTTAATTTGGATTACCACTGAAAAGCACTTAACACGCTTGAAAGACATTGTGAATTAAATATTTCACACTATAAAATTGTCCAAGATATCCTTCCCACATGGTGCAATACATGTGATTTTGCCCCCATGAGACTTTGAGGAACGTGTTGTTCCCGCAGGATTATTCTGACCCTCACCTAAATATTTGAGGGTCTATTGAGGATATCTATAAAACACTCTTAACTATTTAATTGTCTCTGTCCTAGTCAGCTGGTATTACAGGAAATGTTCTTTTAGTTTGTTTCTAGTGATGATAATTGTCAAAGAATGGCTCTATAAGAGAACCAACTCACTACAACATTATTTAATATCTGTTTTTGCTTATTTGTTCTAATTGTACTAATCTGTACTATTTTATCTTCCGTGCAATTCGTGGGAATTTATAGACTGCTTCAGAGTTACAGTATGTTCTCCCCTGCGTGAGCCGCGATTGGCTGCCTAGCACGTAAGCCACGCCTTTTCTGTGACGTATAATTTTGGTTATATGCCCACGTGCAACTGTGTTCTCACAACGAGCTAGTGTCTGCGGAGATGAGACTGCAAGTTTAGCTTTAAGCGGAAGTTTTTAATCGTACGTTTTTATTTTAGGCGTTTTGCGGCGTCTAAATTGTAAAACCTCAACCAGGTCGGATATAATGAAGTACATCATTGGAATAGGGGGGTAAGTGGCTTTTTACAGTAATATTATGAACAAAGTTGTAATAGTTAGAGCCGAGCCATGTGGTTTTCAATTTTTTTTAAATGAAGATAATATATTGTACATGTAGTAATTTATTATTCTCATTTATGACGTGTTGGATTAGTATTTTAAAAGAATCGCGAGCTTTGAAACCACGTTGCGGTTTTGAGCGGGAGATTTAAAACTGTGAGCGCGCCGAAACTTCTGAATGTTTTTAACGGACATTCGCGCCTTAACATATCTAGTCATCTATTAATCTTATGCTTTTATTGTGTATTAAGTAAAATAACAGCTTTTTAATTAGTTTTTCTTGTTGAGGTGCCATATGTTATTTGTGATTTGTAATGTCTGGCCACCATGGCTTTAATACAAAGGACGGAATATTAAGAAACCTTTTAAAGGCTGTTTTTGTTATATTTTTATTGTAGATTATTATAAAGCGTATTTGTTAATTAAGGACGTTATTGTATTGAACACGTGGATAACTAACAACTATGTAAACCTGGGTCAGTTTGTTGTCATAAGCCAGCTGAGGAACTGAGGACCATCCCGCTATTTTTACTTGAATAAACTTTTCAAATACACGATTAAACAAAAGATTACACGGGAAATACATTTAATAGTTCTGCTTTTTGAGTCGTTTCAACTCTGTTTTATCATTTTAACCTTCCTTTTTTTTATTTTTTAGTGTGACTAATGGTGGTAAAACCACCTTGACGAACAGGTTAATTGAAGCCATACCAAACTGCTGTGTGGTTCACCAGGATGACTTCTTCAAGGTGAGTTCAACTAAATGTAGTATTTTTATTTAATATTTCTAGTTATTTTGATGTTGGCTTTACAAATAGCATGATTCCTTTCAATTAAAAAAAAAACGTTAGCTATAATTTCCCCACTACTTTGTTTAAATTTAGTAATTCAACAATAGATTAGGGTTTTTATTTATGTATTTTAATTGTAGCTTTTTGTTCTTGCCTGTTGTAGTACTGCATGCATGGATTCAATAAGAAGTAACTTTTTAAGATAATGATCTAGTAATGACTCTACGTTTGCTTTTTCTCTATTTTATTTGATAAAACTTTAATTTGGCTCCTTGTACAAGTCTGTGATAAGAACTCAAAAGTGCTGATCCAAGATCAGTTTCCTCCCATCTGTTGAGTTGTATTCATCAGGTTATGATGGCTAAGACCTGATTCTAGATCAGCAGTCTGGCTCAAATATATTTGACGGCAGATAGAAGATGGCATTTGCTGCAGTGTTTTACTGGTCACTGTTATTTCAGCCTCCGGATCAGATAGCAGTCGGAGAGGATGGCTTTAAACAGTGGGATGGTAAGACTATAAACAGCAGGAGAGTAATAATTCCTCATTCTACGCATCGCCCTCCCATAACAAAGATTTTACAATCCCTCCCAACCCATTTACATTCTCTCTGTGTGGCTTTGCTATAACTGAAATTAAATTTCGACTTCCATTTTCAAATTTCAATCTTCCGCTAAAATCTTTTGTTCTGCTTTTGTAGTGATCGCAGCTTTGGATATGGAGGCCACGGTGAACACTGTCAAGGGTTGGATTGAAAACCCAGTCAAATTCGCCCGTTCCCATGGTGTGCAAGTGACCCCAGCCACGGAAATGGACGATCCGGAGAGCCAAGTGCACATACTCATCGTAGAAGGATTTCTGCTGTACAACTACAAGTGAGCGACATATTTAACTTTCGGTGGCCTGAACCGCATGAATGGCAAAGATTAGATTCTGGGAACATTTGGTAACATGTGCTCAATGCATATGTAAGAAGGGAACATTGGGGCATACATGCCGGTCATGTGACGCTCTGCATTAGTGCAGATAAGGAGACGCGCTGGGCTATTGGTGGGCACGTGGAGCTGCATGTGCTGATTTCCGAGTCGGCTATGTAGAAGTGCCCCAATCAGTAAATGACTTGAGAGACAGTGTTCTTTTTAAGGTTATGACCTTTTTTATCTTTTTTTTTTCTTCCTCCAAACAGGCCTTTGCTGGAGTTCTTTGACAAATCGTATTACATAACCATCCCATACGAGGAGTGCAAGTTAAGGAGAAGGTGTGTTAAAACTGCAATCAAAAACTCATGAATTGTGCTTATTTTGAGCAGCTGAAATACATTTTTATTATTTATTTCAGTACCAGGCAATACACCGTCCCCGACCCTCCCGGGCTCTTTGATGATCACGTGTGGCCCATGTACCTGAAACACAGAAATGACATGGAGAACTGCGGTTTGCCGATTGGTATGGTATATGTTCTTCAGACTTGACTTTGAATCAAAACCACAATATTTTAGATAAATATTCATTTTGTTTCACGTCTGCTTCAACAGAGTACTTGGACGGCTTGAAAACAAAAGACGAAATCTACAACCAGGTTTACGAAGACATCCACAACACACTCCTGAATCGTTTATAGGTAAGAAAGCCAATCTAGATGGTTGTTGGAATAATTAATTGTATTTATGTTTCATAATAAAGGAACTTGTTTTGTTTTCTTGTCTTTCAGCAGGAGGAGGCTGCCGCCAATCGTCTGTACAATATTGTAAATAGGAATTTTACATGTGGCCTTTTTTAACATGTACTTTTGTGAATAGTTTGACTGGAATGTAACTTAAATACATGTGGAAACACTTTCTTGCATTACCGTTGGTTGTTGGAATAATTAACTGTATTTATGTTTCATAATAAAGGAACTTGTTTTGTTTTCTTGTCTTTCAGCAGGAGGAGGCTGCCGCCAATCGTCTGTACAATATTGTAAATAGGAATTTTACATGTGGCCTTTTTTAACATGTACTTTTGTGAATAGTTTGACTGGAATGTAACTTAAATACATGTGGAAACACTTTCTTGCATTACCGTTTGAGAACCATGCTTTAAGTTTTTTATTGTTTTTGCCATTGTCTTTCAAAGCACTCCTTTGTGACTTCTTCATTCTGGAAATAGTCTGTTTACCACATAAAATGAATTTCTGAAATTTGTTCGTACTTGTGTACCAATAAACATTGTGATTTGACTTCTTTACATTTGTCCGTCTTTACATCACACTTTGCATTTCACACCAATAATGACCAAGTTTTTTTTTTTTCTTCTGAAAATGCTGTTTTATCTAAATTAAATGCTTATGATTTTAAAATAATACTTAAAGTTCTTTGTATACTTTGCCATGTCCAGTATGAGAATTTGTTTTGTTACATAAGTTTAATTTACAGTTAAGGTTAAAGCCATTAAATACTATGAATATGTATAAGATGAGAGCTGAATATCGTGCTAAATTTCAGCAAGACCTTTGACTATTAAATAACCATTAACTAACATTCATGGTTTTCCCCTTCTAAAATTGTCCTAACAGTCTTAAAATGAAAAGGCCTATGGCTGACGTTCAACCTGCATGAAAACAAACATTGTCTAGACATTTTCCTCAATAAACCGTGAGCTCATGTTTTAACCTCAATGTTGAATGTGCCTATGTGCTTTTAAATAGTATCCCTTTCTCATATGACAAATGCCTACACATTCACTTCAAATATTTATGCAATGAAATAAGTGGAAGGGGAAAGTGAAGACATTCATCGCTATTAGGAGCAATTGTCGTTGGGAGATTGGAATGGTTTAAACATTTCGTAGGTCAGATTTCCTTGTGCCAATGACATGACTGAGATGCTCACATTATTTAATGTGTTTTATTGATAAAGAGGTAACTATATTGTTAACATTATGCCAGTAATAAACCCTTATGCAATTAAATAACACCTCTAACTCCCTCTTGTGGTAATACCAATCATACGCAATGATCTGAACAAATAGAATATGGGACTTTTTTTTGTCCACTAACTATGTCTTTATTATTAAGGTGGCACCACATTTAATTTTTGTAAATGTGTGGTGTGCCTGTTATGTGAAACGTCCAGAAGGAAAAAGTGGAAAAAGAAAGAAATGCCTCACAATGTACCGCTTTCATCTGTACCTGGGCTTATTTAAAAGCTTTTGGGAGCACAAAGTGCTGCACTTTCTCTTGCATCCTGTGCAAAATTACAAATATATTAATAATTTTAAAATGACAAAATATTCATTTATTCTCTTCTTCTCCATACACCTGTGCATCGTGGTGTGTTTGAGCACCACACAGCACATGGACCCTGGAGACACAAGGTTAAGTGGGAAACTAATGGACAGATTTACAGTTTGCTGAGCACCGGTTCTCAGTATCACACACCTGTTTCTGGAAAACGGAACGCAAGGTTTTTACTGACGAATATGCCAACATTCTCGAGCAGGATTTTCATGGGACGTTTTGCCAATACTAAGATTCACACAGTTGGGCATGTGGTGCATGCAGTCTTGGTATGGATGCAAGACCTTACATTATATCTGGTTATGCATCTCACATGAGGAATAATAACCAGTTGCCTTTGCATGCAAAAAGAACTGCACTTTCTTCAGATGAAGTGCCCCAGTCCATGCCATACGGGACAGCACCAACTGGCACAACTACAGTGGAAGCCTCAGGGAGCTCAAGAGCATCCAGACGCCATGTAGTTACCAACACACCAGTGCCAAAACGAACATCAGCTACTGGAAAACCATCCACTATTCATTCTGAGGAGAATCCGCTTCCTCAACTTTCCACTTTGACTGGGAGTAAAACTGCTAATAAATCAAAACTTTTAACAAGAACCAATTTAGCTACATCTTCAGCAACTGTTAACAGCAGAAATACAGTAATACATCCTCCCTTCCAGGCTGAGGAAAGAGGAGATGACAGTATGATTGGTGATGAACCAACTAATCCTCAAGTAAACAACAGAAACTCTTTTTACTATAATCTTCTCCCGTATGAAAGTAGCGATAGATCTCCTCAGAGAGAAACGGGTCATGGTACAAGGTATTTTCATAACGGTAAGACAACAATTGTACCTTTTTATGCAATGTGCGAATTATACAATGACTTAAAGGGCGTTCGAGCGGGTTATCTCTCACGCAACGCACATTGTACTTTGGCGCCCACTGTTGGCCAAATTTCAGCTCACATTTGAACGCATAAACGGTTTGTGTGCAATATTTGTGATGTAAGTCTATAATAAAGTGATAAATGACATTACCGTCATGGTTTCTAGTGTCAAGTCCCGACGAAAAGTGATCGAGCCGCGTACTGTTGCTATGTTACCTCAGGCTTGGCTTTTAGAGCCAGGCAAAATAAATAAATTTAAAAATTGTGTAAACATCTATATTGTTAAGAAACCTTAAATACACATAAAATTATATTTGACTCTGAATTATTAGTTTGCCCTTTCATGGAAAATCCTTATTTTCTGTCCATTTAAATGTTAATTATTAAGTTCTGAAAATATTTTCCAGGTCTGCCTGATCTCATTCCTGATCCATACTCTATCCACGCAGCATCTCATATCCAGAGAGTTCAGATGTACACATTAAGATATGCTGCAGAAGAGAACTGCCTCTCCAGGTATTGAGAATTAAAACCTCCAGGTATTAGAATTCAAACCTTTTTAAATAAAACCATTTTAAATTGAATAAATTGAATATTTGCCTTTTTCCTCAAGTTCAGCGTACAACTCGAGAGTGAGAAACCTTGATTACGGAGTGCTTCTCAGATTTCCTCAGAGGGTCAAAAATCAAGGCACAGCAGATTTTCTCCCTGTGAAACCACATCATAAGTGGGAACGGCACAGCTGCCATCAGTAGGTTTCTGACAACTTTATGTTTACATTTACATTTACATTTAGACATTTAGCAGACGCTTTTATCCAAAGCGACTTACAATTGGGGGATGCATAAAGCGATTCTTCTTAAAAGAGGCAAACAGATACAGGAAGTGCTTGTAATACCAAGTTTTTAGACATTGTTCAAATAAGTACACGCTAGAAAGAGAAGGAATAGATAAAGAGATAGAAATTTTTTTTTATTTTATTTTTTTTTAATGATGATGATGAAGTCAAGTAGCTTCGAAAGAGATGAGTTTTCAGCTGTCGCTTGAAAATGGTCAGGGATTCAGCATTCCGGATAGGGGTGGGGAGATCGTTCCACCAGCCAGGAACGGTGAACGAGAATGTTCTGGAAAGTGATTTTGAGCCTCTCTGTGATGGTACCACGAGGCGTCGCTCACTAGCGGATCTCAGACTTCTGGAGGGGATGTAGATTCGTAGTAGGGAGTGGAAGTAGGCGGGTGCTGAGCCTGTGGCTGTTCTATATGCAAGCATCAATGTCTGGACCTTGATTCGAGCCGCAACCGGTAGCCAGTGCAAGGAGATAAAGAGAGGTGTAACATGGGCTCTTTTGGGCTCATTGAAGACCAGTCGTGCCGCTGCATTCTGAATCATTTGTAGAGGTTTGATTGTGCTTGATGGAAGTCCAGCCAGAAGAGCATTGCAGTAGTCCAGCCTAGAAATGACAAGGTTTTTTTTATGATGAAGTCAAGTAGCTTCGAAAGAGATGAGTTTTCAGCTGTCGCTTGAAAATGGTCAGGGCTTCAGAATTCCGGATAGGGGTGGGGAGATCGTTCCACCAGCCAGGAACGGTGAACGAGAATGTTCTGGAAAGTGATTTTGAGCCTCTCTGTGATGGTACCACGAGGCGTCGCTCACTAGCGGATCTCAGACTTCTGGAGGGGATGTAGATTCGTAGTAGGGAGTGGATGTTCTACAACGTTCACACATCAGCATTCACCGAAAGGGTGAAGATATTGTCTTATTCTTTAGAGTTAAGGCCCGTTCACACCGCTTTAATGCTTGCGCTCTTTAAAGTCGAGTGTATTCTGATTGGCTGTCAATGTTTCAATCATTCATCAGCTGGAAAAAAATTGTTCCTCTGTGTCGTTGTGATGTGAACTTAGGCAGTGATATGATTGGGACGCTTTTTAAAACTTTATCGTTACATTTATCATCCTTGGTGTGAATGGGTTTTATGTTATTTACATATTTGTTAAATCCTTTGCACCTTAAAATGAATTCACGATACACATTTTTGTATATATGCCTTAGGAATTGAATTGATTTGCATTGCTGAGAACAGAATTGCTAACAACAAGTTAGTATAGTTAAAAAGCACTCTTCTATGAATTTATAAGTGATTATTTTATTGTATTAGTTTGTTTTTTATCCTAAAGACATTATCACAGCATGGATGCCTTCAGCAATTACGACCTCCTGGATGCCTCCACGGGCAGAAAGGTGGCTGAGGGACATAAAGCCAGTTTCTGTCTGGAGGACACCAGCTGTGATCCCGGTGTGAGGAGAAGATACGCCTGCACAGCTCACACACAGGTTAAGAGAATAAAGTTACTCGTGTAAAACGTGTTATTTTGATACAAAAACTATTGTTTTTTGTGGAGCAGGGATTGGGCCCAGGCTGCTATGACACCTGCACTCTAAAAAATGCTGGGTTGTTTCAACCCAACATTGGGTCAAATATGGACTAACCCAACTTTTGGGTTAAAACTTTAATTAAAAAATTTAACCCAACAGCTGGGTTAGTCCATATTTGGCCCAAAGTTGGGTTGAAACAACCAATCATTTTTTTAGAGTGTACTGTTTTTTTAATGTTGGGTTGAAACAACCCAGCATTTTTTAGAGTGTACCATGCCAACATCGACTGTCAATGGA